ATTAATTTCTAAACTTGTTCTTTAATTTTTTTTTTTTTTTGTTTTTTTTTTTTTTTTTTTTTTTGTTATTTTTGTATTTTGTATTTTAGTGGTCCAAAAGTTGGACTTTAGAAGCAGCAAAAATTTGTGTGTTTTGACTTGTTCAAAACATGGGTTTCTCGAACTAGGGGTAAAATGGGAATAAAAGAATTTGAGCTTAGTATAAAATGTTTCAAAATATGAACTATTCTTTAATGCATACTTTTTTTTGTTCTGTATGTAAAATTCCCATAATGATGAGAAACAATACTTATTTTCTAGTTTGTTTATTTTTTAGTGGTTACTAACAAAGCGAATTACTGTACCACAGCAAATTATTTTTGATTGTTTGCATGCTTTATAAGACATGATGATTTGTTGAATTCTTTATTAGGATTGGTGGAATTGATTCTCACAACTAAAAGAAGTAGCTATGTAGAATTCCAGGATATAAGTACAAAAATTTTCTTCTTTTCTTTATTAATTACTGGAATTTCTACTTACAATTGCCACAAAACAATACATAAGTGAATCTCATGCCATCTAGGATGTTTTAAATCTTACCACCAAACTTTATATTAAAAAAACTCAAATTACCAATTAGGAAACAAAAATATGAATCAGGAATAGCATAATAAAATAAATAATCTAGGAAAACTTACCCTACTTTTTCCTAAAATTACCCCTTATGGACTTGCCCTCCGCACACTTGATCACCTGACCAATGGCGCATTTGATTTTGAGATGTTGTTGAATCCACTAATTTGAACTGAGAAGCACCTCTAGAACATCCTTATGTAAAATCTATAGGGCTGAGAGCATGGGTCACAAATTAGGATTTTTTAGACCCTTTTTAAAACCTTTGGGCATGCCATTGAGTGGCACCTCCCCTAACCTAAATCTTGGCTGCACGGGACTCCTTACTATCTTGAGAGGTTCGTGCCACCGAGAGAGAGAGAGAGAGAGAGAGAGAGAGAGAGAGAGAGAGAGAGAGTGGTGTAGGAGAGTAGGAAGGAGGAGAGAGGTAGGTATATGTAGTGTAGAGAGTAGAGGTACGTACCTACTTACTTATAGTACGTCCTACGAAGGTAGTACGTAGGTTACTTACCTAATACGACGTA